CATTAAATGTGCTGCAAAGCAGAGGGTCTAGTGAGAAGGCAGCCAGGTTAATCCGGTAACATTTATATTTTTTCTGTAGATGTTTCGCTAACTGTTAATATTTCCCCCTATTTTCACGATGTCATGTGCTGTTAGCGCTTATTTATTTGTATTTAGAACCGCTAACTTGAAAAATAACCCGCGGCAGCAGTGTAAAGGTAGCCCGGAGTCAGACGCACCTTTCCCGCATTAACATCCGCACATCACACGCGTATGATCGCGGGCGCGATTTGGAAGCACAAACTTGCCTGCATTTGAGTCTTCAAGGCATTTTGAGGACACAACAACGTCAAGTAAGTAACTTTAAAGAATGTTACAGTATCCACTGTAGTTGTCCGCTAGTAAAAACAGTTTTATCAGTCATTATCCATGTACGAACTATCGCAAACAGATAATGTTACCTCACGAAGTTAGCCATCAGTCTCCTTGCTTACGTTGAGCATACCAGCGTATTTCTGGTTCAAACACATATGGCTTAATTAAACCAATATTTCCACTTGCCATTGTATCGCGTTTACTACAGTTCATTTAGTGTATCAGGAGGCGCTGGCTCATGGCTGGCTGGTGTGTGACTGAGTGGAGGCGGGGCTAATTTGCGTATTCATAGATCCGCGTATAGTAAATGAGGCAAGGGTGTAGAGTTGCATTCAAGCTATTTTAAGGCATGAGAAATGTATTTTCACAAGAAAGAAACATTTAAATATGTAATTTTGATGATCAAAGATGAGTTTTAAAGGATAACATTTTTGACTACAGGGTGACTTTAAGATAACATTTTTGACTACAGGGGGACTTTAAAATGAATCCCAAGCCGTTTCATGTTGAAGTCAACATGAAACATTAGCATATTGCCCGCCCACTTGGTCTTTTCGCGTTGGCCTGAATAAAAAAATACAAAATGTTTGCCACTAGGTGCCGCTTTTGGAGCGGTAAAATAGCTGTTTTCCCGGTAAAGCTGTACACAAAGCAGCACTGTGCTCACAAACGCTGCTTTATCAGGCATTACAGGCATGATGAAATGAAAATGAGACCAATCGGACCAATCACCGCAGATTAGAGTCACGCAAAGGAGGGGTTTGGAAAAATGAATCATTGAGCGAATCGTTTGGGAGTCGTTGAGCAAATAAGGTAAAAATAAATGCATATTATAAGACAATGGAAGTGTTTTTTGACCTTGCATGCATGTCAACCTGTTGTTGGGGATTCACAAAACCAAAATATGAACCTTTCATTACCCATAATAGGGGACACTTTAAACTACTCAATGAATATTTAAAAATCTCCTAGAGGTATTGTGTTTGTGTGTATTTGGCTTCCTGTTTCAGGGCTGGTTAAACAGCATAGTCGTGAACTCCATGAACTGCAGCCTCTGTACACAATAGAGGGTGACACGGGAGTGGATTTTCAAACTCTCCCGTCCCACTCCCACAAAAAAAAATCCCGTCCCGTCCCAATCCCACGAAAAAAACTGGGGGAAAATGTCTTCCCGTCCCAATGCCGGAAGAATGACTTCCATTCCCTCCCACTCCCATGTTGTGTTTTTTTTGGCCAGAATCGGTCAGTTACAGTAAAAAAAAATACAGTACAGATCACAGCATGCCCACTTTAGCTGAATACAAATCCAAAAGTTTTTTGTTATTTTATTGAACTGAAAGCCAGCTTAAACAATGCACAGTGTGCATTGCACACACATTAAATTTCATGTAAACCCCATAACATATACCAGGGCCACACACATTAGAGGGTGACACGGGAGTGGATTTTCAAACTCTCCCGTCCCACTCCCACAAAAAAAAATCCCGTCCCGTCCCAATCCCACGAAAAAAACTGGGGGAAAATGTCTTCCCGTCCCAATGCCGGAAGAATGACTTCCATTCCCTCCCACTCCCATGTTGTGTTTTTTTTGGCCAGAATCGGTCAGTTACAGTAAAAAAAAATACAGTACAGATCACAGCATGCCCACTTTAGCTGAATACAAATCCAAAAGTTTTTTGTTATTTTATTGAACTGAAAGCCAGCTTAAACAATGCACAGTGTGCATTGCACACACATTAAATTTCATGTAAATCATCCATGCTAACACACACGTTTTCTATTAGATTTTTTTCATTTGAAAGTAGACATGTCACTCTCTATAGATTTATTTTTCATACACGGAGTTTGGAAGTTTCTCGCTCAAGTTCACATGACCGAGACGGCAGAAAGCGCATCCTGTTTGCTTTAATTATTTTACAGAAGCCCTACGTTTAGTTGTTATTCTTATTTTACAGAAGCCCTACGTTTCGTTGTTATTCTGAGTGCACACAAATAAACGTAGAGTCTTTACAGATTCAAAAGATGTATTACTTTTATCTGTATGACCAAAAATTACGGAGTATTTTAAGAGCAGGTGAGCGCATCCGGCGCCTCCATCTGTCCTGCTGCGAGCGAGCTGCTGTTCAGCTTCCACACAGACACTTCAATACAATAGCGCACATTTCTGTAGGTTAACATTAGATTGAGCGGCCATCGAAGTTGTTACTACATACATCTTTCAGTTGATAAGCCATATTTTAGGTCGATGAATGATAGGCGAGCGTTTGGATTTCCTGCCCGATGTACTCTATTACCACATAGACCAGCCGTTAACGGTCTGTCTGTCACGGACTGTGTACGTCATTCACTTAACCAGCCACACCAAAGCAAACAGGAGAAGAGCATAAAGAGACAGGGCAACTAGAATTGAGTTCAAAATTAAAATATACAGTTTATAGTTTATTTATATAAAAGGTATATTTGTGTATAAAGTTGGGTATCATAGTGTTATTACGATTCCCGGTCCCGCCCACTCCTGCTCACATTTTTTTCTGTCCCGTCCCAATCACGTGATTAATAGTGATTTTGTTTCCCATCCCGCGGGATTCCCGTGACCCGCGAAATTCCAGAAAAAATGTCAGCCTCTAGTACACAAGGTGAAGTTGTGTCCACTTCCTGCCCCTTTTAAGCTCTTGCGTCTTGTGCAGAAGGGTGTATGCGTGTGTGCAAATGAAAGAAGTGGTATCAAAACTGGTATCTTTCTCATCGCCGACTGTCTGTTTATAAAGGAGGAATGCAACACTGAAAAATTTTCAAAATGGAGATCTGTTTACAGTCTCATCTAGCATGCTAAATGCTAGCTCAAATAAGAACAGCTTGACATTTAAAGATCTTTTTAGAGTTGTTTTAGCTTATTGAGTGAATCAACAAACCAGAGACCTTTTACAGATTCCATCATAATATTTAGAGACAACTCTTAATTCTTTTGTAGTTTGACTTCCATAAAAGGAATAAAAAAAGTGTAGAACCTGTTGATGCTGTTTCATGCATGTTTGAGTAAAATTTATTCTAAGGAGTGCTTGAGGCTCTGTATGACTTCTGTATGTATCAGTGATGTATTTGGTGACAGTATTTGGGCTTAAGTTCGTCATTAGACATTCATATTTGGGAAGCTGTTAATGGCTTGACTTATGGGTCAAGTGGCTTTTAAAACCGTGAACTAAACAACAAGCTTTAGATGATTTTGTTTTAAAGCTGTGGATGGGTAACCATGTGGAAAAAAATGTCCCTCCCATATCCTCTCTGTGTGAATAATCCAATCCAGTGATTTCTGAAATAACATGAACCCAAACAATGACGATGATGCCTTCAGAGGAGAAGAGAGTTTACACAAACCCATTCTTTATAGGGGCGGATTAAACCAAAAATTCTTCTCTAAGTTGTCCAGTAGACTTGCATGAGTCTTTCACAAGTTCAGGCTCAGTCTTTGTAGTCCGCAGGAACAGTTTGTTTCAGGTCAAGAGGCACAGCCTCGCTCTGATGTAATTTCACCCAAACTTGGGTAGATAATGTTGAAACAAATATAGTAAGAGGTTGAATCATGTGAAGCCTCTCATGTCCCAGTCACATTTCGCCTCTAGACACAGAAAAAAACTAGGTAATTATATATATAACAAGAAGATAAAGGCAATTTTTTGTACCTGAAGACTTTTTGCACTGACACTTATTTTCATGACAGTTCAGTTTTCATAGTAATTAATTTATATGCTTAATTTAATGAAAATAATGTTAAATCATAATTGTAAAAATAATCTTACTGGTACATAAAATGTTTTTTCTCTTATTCTTATTTATTATTTTATTAAAATATAATATGATTCACTCAGGATTGACTATGTAGCATTGCATTACTGCAATATTAGCACACTATTCTATTTTAATGAGCTTTCAGTTCCCTTTCACCTTCAAGATTTCCTGTGTTGCAGACAGATTTCATCACATTTTGTCCAGTCATTTTCAAACCAGTCAGTCTGAAAACAAATATACTTCAGCTTGGGCTTTTTTCTTAGGAATGAGTAAAGTGATTTATTCTCTGATCACTTCCCTGAGAATTATTGAAATATATCTTCCAAACCTGCAGAAAAATAAACAAAACCTTTCTGGAAGTCATCTGTGCGAGTGAATACTTCTGTTGTATTGAAAGAGAAGGAAATGCTTGTCATTTTGCGTAGCACTTATCTTCAAAAATCATCTAAAATGTTACAATTCAGAATTCTTTTGGGAATAGAAATGTAAATATGTTTGGGTTGTGTTTCTTTTTTTACCTTTCAGACAAAAGACTGTCATAAACTTTATGATTGTTACAGTTTTTATCATCTGCGCAGTAGCCTAGCAGTTAGCACAGGTTGGCTAAAATGTGTTTAATTTTTGAGGAAGAACAGAATTAAAACAGGCTCTACAGCTACCCTGACACTTATCAGAATGTCAAACAATAGGTCACCACACCTCTGAGAATAGTTCTGTTTATTACAGTCAGGTCTGACCAATCTTTGCTTTTGTCCTGAGGTTATTAGAGCTCTGTTGGACAATGGGACGCGATGGAGATTCAATGCAATTCATTGTGTAGCAAAAAAATGACTCGTTTTGTTTTATTCTTCCCTCAACAGCAACTGACCTTCCCGCTGATGCTGACTGTTGGGACGGCTGTGATCGGCTCCCTTCAGTTCGGCTACAACACAGGTGTCATCAATGCCCCGCAAAAGGTGAGTGACAAGCACATACTCACGCATGCGCAAACTCTTTATTGTTCACCCTGATGTCCCAGGTGTGTCCTTGGACTTTGACATTATCGAAACGCTGCCCTTTTCACTCAGTCATGTACTGCTGCAGCTGTTTCCAAATCCCTGTCTGTCAGTGGACACACACACACATACACTCTCACATCAACATAACACAAATGCCTCCTGTACAACTCCAGGAGGACTGCAGAGTTGCTCTATACATCTCCTCGGGGAGATTTTGCCTTTCATCTACATATTATGAGGCAATTTACATTTGTTAAATAATAAGTGACTAAATTCCTATCAAATATACATTAAATATGCTCTCTGTTCTGGTACAGGGTGTAGGTCATGTCTCACACATAGCACAGCTTGTTCAGACATGTGTGTTGAACTAGGGGCCAGGCTTTGCTTATGTGAATGAAGCTTTTCTGGCTTTTAAACACTATATGGAGTGTATAGATTCTATATTTTCACTATATACTCACACTCCTCTTCCTGTCTAGAGAAAACAGAAATTGACTCATTAATACCTACCGTAAAGAAAAAAATGTGTATGTGTGTCTACGTGTATGTATGTATATATATATATATATATATATATATATATAAATACTATTACTGTACTGTACTATTTTAATATATTTAAAAATGTAATTCATTCCTGAGATGTAAAAGCTGAAGTTTCATCAGCCATTACTCCAGTCTTCAGTGTCACAACATGATACTTTTATTTTAAAATACTGATTTAGTGCTCAAGAAACAAGATTTCTTATTAGCACTGCTGAAAATAGTTGTGCTATCTAATATTTAATATCAATACCATTTCAGTTTTCAACTTTTTGAAAAAGTTCAAAAACTTATTTTTTTAATTATTAGTATTAGATTTGTATTGGATTAGATTGCCATCTAACGCTCACTTAAAGTTAATCTTTAAAATGCTAATAATTTAGTAACTGTTTAATCTTTGGCAAATCATGAAATTAATACCCATTTTATGTACTGTACATTATAATGTTGTGTTGCCTAGATTGACTTGTAGCATATAATTTTAGCATTTGATTTTCATTTTTATGGTTTTTCTTCATTTAGACAAAATAGAGTATGATTTTAACATTGGCCATTTATCTGCCTATTGTTATCAGGCAGAGTTTTATTATCATAGACAGTGTTTCAACTACTTAAATACCACCAGACTCTGTACATACTGGCCTCTGGCAAAGAAGGGTGTGTTTGCTTTCACTGTTTGTGTTTCTGATGGTTGTAACAATAGTTTTAGCACGTGAGATTGGGCTGTGCTGAGGCCTTAATAGGAGTAACGTGTGTGGGTGTGGGTCTGACGCAGACCCTCTCCATAAATAATCACTTTGATAAGATTACTGCACCCTCAAGGGCTTGTTGTCCGCACTGCACTCACAAATCACTAAAATTATACAGTGTTATAATGCATTATCTAGCGCAAAACTCCTCTATGAATAGACTGTAATATTTGTGACCAGGTGGATCTTTGCTGCACTCCTCAGTGCGGGAGTTCATTCACATAATCAATCATTAAAGGTCCTGATCAACCTGGTCAAATGAAAACTGTTATCGGTTTCTCACCCGCATCTTTCCAAACCCATTTGACTTTCTTTTTTCATCCAATGGCAGTTGATTGGGACTGTGGACAGCTGTGTTCAGCATTTACTTTAACTAAACATGGTTTTTAAAGACTATTGTTTTAAGAGATTATTTGATAAGCAGTTTAGCCCCTCATATGAAAAAAAGAGGACATTTAGTAGAAGTAATAGGCTTGTGTAATAACTAATATCGCTTCCTATGTGCATGTGTCTAGCAGTGATTCTATAAAAACAAACACCACGGTGTTGTGTAACAGGTTTGTATAATGACGGGTCAAACCCAGAGGCACATGACTTTAACCGTGCACGATATTTATGTGATGCTGATGCACTGAAGGGCTTTCTGCATGCCTAAGGTGTCAGACAGCTGATGACAAGAAAGGAGAGACAGTAAGTAGTCGCAGAGAACTGGTTTCCTAACCTTAACACGTCAACAGATCATACAGAACAAACTTTATTTTTTCCCCTTTATAACACAGCTTGAATCTTATTGGGTGACATTCCTCTGATCGCTACAACAGACAGTCTGTGTTTATCAACAAACACTTCACACAGAGATCTCAGAGAAACCTGACTCCCTCTGTGGGTTTCAGTTTTCATTACAAAACCATGTTACCTAATACTAAACGAGACAGTGAGCCACCTGCTGCACAGAATTGCTCATTACAACATAAATCACAAGCACCCAGAGCAGATTGGTGATATTAAATTATTAGTTTCAATTTTAGTAATTATAATAACCCTGGTAATAAGTGACTGTATTTGTGTTGTAGATCATTGAGGCCTTCTACAATGAGACATGGACTGATCGATATAATGACAACATCCCTAAAACAACCATGACTACCTTGTGGTCTCTGTCTGTGGCCATCTTCTCTGTGGGCGGCATTATTGGATCCTTCTCCGTCGGGCTGTTTGTTAACCGCTTTGGAAGGTGAAATACAGTTGTAGCCATTGATATTTTTTTAACATTATGGCACCACCATCTTTTACATTATTTAATTCCTTGTATACTATTCAGTCCTTGTTTCTGATGGTAATTGGATGATTTTAATGTTTGATTATAAAACTCTTCCTATTTTTCTCATTTCAGGAGGAACTCCATGCTCATGGCTAATGTCCTGGCTTTCATCGCTGCAGCACTGATGGGCTTCTCTAAGATGGGGGCATCCTGGGAGATGCTCATTAGTGGACGGTTTGTGGTGGGCCTTTACTCTGGTCTGTCCACTGGTTTTGTGCCCATGTATGTGGGTGAAGTGGCCCCCACAGCCCTCAGAGGAGCCCTGGGCACCCTTCACCAGCTGGGCATCGTTATTGGCATCCTCATGGCTCAGGTACATACATACTCAGGACATTTTTGCCGTTTCAGTCACCATTTGGCTATTTCTCCATATTTATGTGCTGCTTTGTGTATTGTAGATCTTTGGTATGGAAGCAATCATGGGAAATGCCACCATGTGGCCATTCCTCCTTGGCTTCACCTTCATCCCAGCCCTGCTGCAGTGCTGTTTACTGCCCTTCTGCCCCGAGAGCCCTCGATTTCTCCTCATCATCCGCAACGAGGAAAACAAAGCCAAAGCAGGTGAGCACGGACCCACATCACCTAAACATTCCCATTTATCCAGCGCAGGAGTGTTTTCATCAATGTAAACATGTTTTCATGTGCCTTTAGTGCTTAAAAAGCTGCGCGGGATGACGGATGTGAGTGCAGACATGCAGGAGATGAAGGAGGAGAGCAGACAGATGATGAGAGAGAAGAAAGTGACCATTCCTGAACTGTTCCGCTCTCCGCTCTACCGACAGCCCATGGTTATAGCCATCATGCTGCAGCTGTCCCAGCAGCTTTCTGGAATCAATGCTGTGAGTACCTTCATGCACACGCGTTTACAGGTTAAACAAAGACAAACCTTAGACCTTTACCTTTACTGTTTTTATATAAACTCGATTTTATTTTGAACTCAAACCCTAACTGGTGCTAACATTGTTGTTTAGGTATTCTACTACTCTACAAAGATCTTTGAGAAGGCAGGTGTGCAGCAGCCAGTTTATGCCACTATTGGAGCAGGAGTTGTCAACACAGCTTTCACTGTAGTGTCGGTGAGTATCAGTATGCAAACAGACATGAGCACGAACCTAACAGAACCATTGCTGTTACTGTAGTAATAATTATATATAATAATCAATTATGTTATTCATCTCAAAATGACCAAATATTATCTATCACTAGTGTGCACTGTATATACAATATAGAGTATTTATTTTGCATAATATTAATATGATTTGTTATTGTTATGCAGCTGTTTGTAGTTGAGCGAGCGGGCCGCAGGTCTCTGCACCTCTTGGGACTGCTGGGAATGGCCGGATCTGCTGTACTGATGACCATCGCTCTTGCCTTGCTGGTATGCAAATAATATATATTTACTTAAATGGCAGGGCATCTGTGTTTAAAGTTTTTAATCATTCAGAATGTCATCCTTGTGGACCGAAGGTTTACAATATATTTGATCTGACGGCATTATTGCCCATCTCTCTAACAGGAAAAGTACGACTGGATGTCCTACATGAGCATCGTAGCAATCTTTGCATTCGTGGCCTTCTTTGAGATCGGACCGGGCCCCATCCCATGGTTCATTGTGGCTGAGCTGTTCAGTCAGGGCCCAAGACCCTCTGCATTTGCTGTTGCTGGATTCTCCAACTGGACAGCGAACTTTATCGTGGGCATGTGCTTTCAGTATGTCGAGGTAAGAGGCCAGTGAGAATTATATGAAGGAAGTGGACACATTTGTTTTGGCTGGTTTAACTTTATTCTCTCTGTCTTTCTTGTGCTTTAACAGGAGCTCTGTGGGGCGTATGTGTTCGTCATCTTCACCGTATTTTTACTGTGCTTCTTTGTCTTCACCTACTTCAAAGTCCCAGAGACCAAGGGCCGGACGTTCGATGAAATCTCTGCCGGTTTCCGCCAGGCAGCGTCAGGTGCTGAGAAGCACTTGCCCGAGGAGCTCAACAGCCTGGGGGCGGACTCTCAACTTTAAACCCCTCCTCTAACCCCGCCTCCCTCACCTGGTCACTCTTCTGCACGCAACTACTGAGGAGAAGGGGTCAGCGGGCTGTCAATCAAACATTTCCCCCCTTCTCACGGCTGCACTCACCTCTTAGTCCCCCCGCGCTCCCCAATGGCTTCACACGGCCAGCCGAACTGCAGCTGCTGGATGCCAGACACCGGGTTTGAAAGGCAGGGTGTAAGAGTAGTCATCATATTCCTTCTATAAGAAAGATGATCGTTTTAAGACATGTTTGAGGTGTCGTATTTTGCGTTGGAATTGCTTTGGCTAGGTTTTAGGTTTTTAAATCTACCTTAACTGTTACTTCTGCTGTGCTATGAGAGTAAAAAATCGCCGGAGGTCACGGGGTCACTCCTGATCGAGCCGCTACGCTCTTGATGTCAGAAATACACATGCCAAATGTACGCTGACTGACAATTCAATACTGTATTCCAGATAACTGTATCTCATTTAAACAAAAAATTATATATATATATATATATATATAAGTGAGGTTCCCTGTGCAAAGCAGGTGGTCACGTTGGTTATGTTGACGGAAGTTAGCCTATTTTCAGGCGTTGCGTAATATCAGTGCGCCTGCTGCACCCATGGTACGGCAGTAAAGTTCCTTGATTACTACGCTGGAGCCATATCAGCCTAGAAAATTGCAACTTTTGGTTAGGCCGTTCATCCACACGCAAACGCAGCATCAGGTTACTGAAACCGAACATTTTTGAAAACACCTGCCAGGGTGAAGAATACCTGTGTACGTGTAGACATGGTCTTAGCTCAGAGGTTTCCAAAAAGTGGTTCTGATTAATCAAACACACCTGATTCAGTTTACTAGATAAAACTCCAAGAACTGAAATTGGTGTTATTTTGGAGATGTCTATAATAACCACTGCTTTAGCTTCCACCTTTTAGAGCTGCAGAAATCAAGACCCTCATGAAAAGTAGGTTGAACAATTTAATTTCTAAATCAGCAAAGCAAATTAATTCTGGCAGTGTTGTGCAGTGAAGTGTCAGCCTCTCATAACAAAGCATTTGTGAGGGTGTGCTGAAATTCTCTGGTCAGCCAAAGATGAATGAAACTGGATTCCTCTCATTGTTTTGGATATGTATAGATGTGTCCACACAAGGGACTGCAAAGGCAAAACAACTGAAAAGTGTGGGTAAAAAATGATTACCACCCTTTTAATTTCATATTATATACAGCTGCATGTGATTAAGATAATGTGTATGTGTCATGTCACACATGCATATGAAAAAAGTGTTTTTTTTTGCATGTAAAAAGAAAAAAAGGCATGGCAGGTTGAATTTGAAGTCAAATTAAAATTGATCCAGGTCTAAAATATATGTTGCTGAATTGCCAGCGTATAAAACCATACAAATGATTTGAATCAAGTGTAGCCATGAATTATTAAATGACGCATAGAAAGATCAGTGCAGTGCTATACATGCAAATCTGCATGAAAATGTCTCTGCATGAAAAAACCTCATGCATTAATATTTGCATTCACACCATATCATGTACCATCTCAAATTTATTTAAAAAAATCCTATTTCTCACAAAATAATATCAAATAATATGACAGAAACTTCATGTAAACTTGCCAAATTAACATCAGAGCTCAATTTAGCTAGATGACAAATGTAGAAGGATGCCAAAATAAAATAATAAATCAAATAGGACAAATCAAATATTTATACCTTTCAAGTGTGCATTTGAGAACACTGCAAAAACTGCATCATGAAGCACATACATACAAATAAGAGGACAAGAGAATTATATAATCTGGGATGCTCAAGAGCACTTTGGTTTGAAAACCCAAAACCTGAGTTTGACTCCAGTCCTCCCCCGTCCCGCAGAGGAGACGTACACCATCTGACATTTCTAGTACCCATCTATACTCATCATCCGGAGCTGCTCAAAGAAAACAGCATTGTTACATATGGACATATCAAAAACAATCAACTATTATAAGCTTCTTAAGAGGTATATGGTTCAGTGATGATGTGAATAAACACATTTTTAGAACCATCTATTATTACATAACACAATATCGAAGATAAAACAATTGCAAAAGGCAGAGCAAAATAACACAAATGCTGCTTTATGGTAATTCTAGCTAAGCATGACACTTTTTGTCCTTCATTTGGCTTTATAAACCATATTTACGGTCACACACAATATAAGCCTGCCCTTCATATGAAAAAAAAAAATAATTACAACTGTCCATTCAAAACTGTATAAACAACCAAAAATGTACATCTTTTCATTAACAAAAATGTCCTATCAGCACTTGAATATCAATGTTTGAGGAACGCAAACTGAAATATTTTTTTGAATCTAAATTCTGGTATCAGTCGGAACATTCATGTGTGGTTTTTTGGTATTCATACATTAGGAAGCTGTCTGAATCATTCTTTAAGAGTTCAGTGCATTTGAGCTTTACATTTTATTTATTTTTTTTGCATAGAGTAGACCAAAGCTGAAGAGGCCAAATCCTTTCCTCTCAGGCGAGTGAAGGTTCTCCGTGAACTCTGAAGCGATACACACAGGTGTATTCCAGATGACCCCAGTTACTCAAGATCCTCAGCTCTGTCATGCTGTAGACGTCTAACGCTTCCTGTAGCCGAGAAAACAGGAAGAATTAAAAAAAAAAATTTTTTGGGATAAATTTTACAAAATCATATCTAGGTCATACCTAGGTACACCAAAAATGCATATGTATTTTTATAAACATATATAATTAATTTATTTGTAAATATAAAATGCATAGAAAATTATACCTATATTAGTAACTTGTTTTGCCCCGATTATTATTATTAATGTGTCCAGACATTTTATTATTGTTAATCAATAATACAATTATTTTATTTAAATCAGCATACATACACACTACTGCTCAAAAAATTGGGGTAAGATTTCTTTTTAAAGTAATTCATACTTTTATTCAACAAGGATGCATTAAATTGATCAAAAGTGATAATGAAGACATTTATAATGTTATAAATAAGTTCTGTTCCAAATAAATGCTGTTCTTTTAAGCTTTCTATTCTTTAAAGAACCCTAAAAAATGTATCACGGTTTACACAAAAGAATTATTAAGCACCACGACTGTATTAAGCACCACAAGAAATTTCTTGAGCAGCAAATCAGTGTTATTTTAAATTTTTTAATTAAAATAATATTTCACAATATTACTGTATTATTGCATTTTTTGAAAAAAAAAAAACATCTTAAAGTTTCCAAACTTCTAAACAGTAATGTATTTATTAAATACAGGAATACAACATATACTACCATGATATGATGATGATGAAATTGTCTATTTTGACTCACCGGAAGCTTGAAAGTCTGAATGGGCTCTCCATCCTGGTCATATGTAAATGTCCCGAGCAACTTTCCGTCTTCAGTCTCATTAGACATACCCTGAACACAGAACAAGCGAGGAATCTCAAAGCTGTTGTTTTATCATTATTACGCAGAAACCCCCCCCCCATTGAAATATCAACTCACATAGACAGCAAAATCCTTAGGCGCGCTGTCAACGCGGCCCGTCGGCGAGAGCTCTTTGGGAAGGTGTTCGAGTGTCACATGGGTGATTCTTACTGGGTAAGACAGTGCGATTACCAGAAAACCCTGGGAGCCTCGGAATGCCCAACACTTCCCGGGATACAGCTCCGGCTACAACACACACACACGGAAGCTTAGAGAGTCAGATCAGTGTCTATGTGACAGTGTTTGTGCGATTTGTTACCTGTATAACAGTCCGAGGGCTTTCTGAATGATACCACAGAGGAATGCCGAATAAACTCAAACACGCAGATCTGGTCTTATACGTCTCTGAGCAACGAGTGTTGAGCACACTGGCACCTACACAAACACACACACTTAGTCGTGTGTCCAGTAAAGTCACATATATACAGAAGTCTCTTATGTTCACCAAGGCTGCATTCATTTTAACAAAAATACAGTAAAAATGTCATATTGTGTAATATTATTACAGTTTAAAAGAACTGTTTTCTGTTTTTGAATATATTTTGAAATGTTATTTATTCCTGTGATACACACACACACACACACACACACACACACACACAGTCTGGTTTGCTATCCTTGTGGGCGCTCCATAGGCGTAATGGTTTTTCTACTGTACAGACCGTATATTCTATTGCCCTACACCAACCCTACCCCTAAACCTACCCCTCACAGGAAACTTTGTGCATTTTTAGATTTTCAAAAAACTTCATTCTGTGTGATTTATTAGCTTGTTTACCCGTGGGGACCTCAATTTAGGGCCCCAACGTGACACGAGTCCCCACAAGTCTGTGTGTATTCAGGTTTAAGTCCCCACCAGAATAGAAAAACAGGTACACACACACACACACATACTTAATAAACAAGGGAAATTAGTACCAGAAGATTCCAAGGCATAGTCCGCCATTCCAATCCCATCTGCCCTGTACAGACTAATTGCCCTGTGGACGATTTCTTTCACATCCTGTTACACATACAAAAATTCGCATTAAAAGGCATCATGAATTCAACTTCAAACTAAGACTAAAACTCAAAAACACTCTTTTCTTTTGGCATCCCAGCACACACAGACACACACTTGTATAGTGGCGGCTCCGACTCCTTCCTGTTGCAGCGTCTCTCCCACGGTCCTCCAGACATCTCTGCTGCTCTCTTTCTCATGCACTAGCTTGTCTAGTATCCGTTTCTCCAGATCCTCCAGCGCCCTCTGCAGCTCGGGACGGAGCACTATGGTTGACTCCAATGAGCTTGGATCTTTCAGGTGTTTTATTAGCCAATCGGAGAGCTCTGCTCTCAGCTGTAGAGGAAATGACATCATTAGTTGAATAATAAGTAATCGCAATCATCACATCAAAGGAATTCACTAAAATGTGCTAAAAGCATGCTTACGTTGTTGTTGAGAGTGTCTTGTGCATCAACTCTTTCCTTGAGGAGACCTTGGGCCGACTGAAGGTTTGAGATGCTGGACTTCAGATTAGAAATCTGCTGCTCGTGTTCAGCCTCAGCACTATTGAATATTAAACATATTTCATCACCGGATGAAATAATGACGCAACATGCAAAACAACATTAAACAGTCCACAAAATCAAAGTAAAAAACTGACTTCCTCATTTGATCATTCATAGACTTCAGATCAGTTTGCATCATCTAGGAGACAAGCACAAAAACACAGTTACTGTAGGTGGATGACACCATTTCCTGTTTTGTGTTTTGTTGCTATGACAGAAGAAACCGAGGTGGTAGAAAGGAAGAAGGAACGTTTCGTTCTTCACCTCAGATTTGACCTTCTGTCGCACGCTCTCCATCTTCAGCAGTTCGAGGTCTCTCTGAGATAACAGACAAAAAGAAAGAAATTGGGACACTTCCTCTTCAACAGACAGACATACTGTACATGATAGTGCTTAGATTTGAATTACCATCAGGTTTGCCTCCGTTTCATGCAAGCTGGCGATCTCATCTTTCAAA